TGCTTTGGTGTAGGCCTTTCAATCACCAGATCTATATGTCCATTTAGATCTGCTTTTTTCAGAGCAGCAACATAATTAAACAACTTTGAAAACTCATAATGATATCTGCCACTAATTTTTTCTTGAGTTTTCATCAGCATTCCTACAAACTTTATTGTGACATCAACATTTGACTCATTTTAGGTAAGCTTTTTTCATCTCAAATAACTTTAAGTCAGGAATAATCCTCCGTTTAGCTAAAAAATGATTAGTTAAAATCTTATAATTTACCATTGAGTTTTTAAACATAATAATATGTTAATGCTTATTTATCAGTGTCTTCACCTTGAACAATCCGTTATAGTTGTCTATCGTAGCATAAATAAGAATGAGCAATCTTTCATGTTTACAAACAGCCTTTACCCTATGTTTCTTATTCCTAAGGTATCTATAATCAAACCTTGTTGCAATTGCATGTTTGGTCAATGTATTCTTAAATTATTTTAGACTATAAAAAATCATGCCAATCTCAAACCTTGAAACTAGATCTAAAAGGTTAAAGTATTTCTTCCTACTTTTCTTATACACAACCTTCCCATCTTCACAACTCTCATAACTACCTATGTCTCAAGGGTTTATGTAATTTGTATCATCTTCTTAATTTATCCCAGCCCTACTATTTTCACCTACCTCTTTTTGCTTTGCTTATTTATTTTTTTTCTTGATATCTTGCAAAAAACCTTTAAAATCTACTTTTGTTGGGATATCGTTACTTTTTATTACCCTACTTTTTCTTTTTTCTCTAAACTTAGTATAACATGTTCTAATATTTTATATTTTCTCATCATCAATATATGAGCCCTACTCATATTCTCTAAAGGGTTCTTTCTCACTGTTTAAATTTTCACCCTTATTTGCACCCTCATGTGAATCTTTATGTGTACTTGCATCCAACACAATCACATGTACAAATACATTTCCTAAATTATTATAACTGTCAGCCCAGCTATCTACATTATTATCATCTACCTTATTAATGTTTGCAGCCCATTCACTATTAATATCCCTCTTATTTTTATCTTCTACATTACATGCATCCCCTTTATTATCCTTTCTAACCTCTTCATTATGCTCCTAACGTGACAATAACGATATATCATCTACAAACTCAAGTATATCAACTCCATATTTTACATATACATGTATCTCTTCCATTACCCTCATTAGATCTATCATCATACCAAATGATGCATTATCATAGCGTAATATTAATCCATCTTAATACTAGACCTTGATGGTAAGTAATAAAACATAGTAGTGGTACCATACCCCGTCTCTCTAACCATATTAAACAACACAATGAATGAAACACATTAGGATCTACACTCCATACATCTACATGCCCAACCATATCGCTTACTTTCAGATTTGCTACAAATTTCGCACCCAAATGCATGTGTAAAAGATGCATCATAAAAGCCATTATTTTAACAGCATCAAAAGCAACAAAAATATAATAAACAAAAACCTTTATAGTATAATGAATATAATAATGTAGACAAACTAAGACCACATTGCAAAATCCAAACACACAATCCAACATACGTGCAAAAGATTGACCAAAAAGAAGTGTTGTATCCAAATAAAAAGGTATATAAAAAGTGAAGTTCTGTGCCTATATAAACTCTTATTGAATAAAAAAGCATTTGAAATAAAATAAGTCACCATTTCCAACACTATTGTAACCCTAAACCAGAGAATAAAAAAATTAGCATACTTTAAAATTTTTTGTAACCTTCAATTGATTCTCACTTTGCTCCATAAAATTGAATCCAAATACTCCACAAATCTCCTCATGCCAATCGATGCCCCTGACTTATCTTGTTCCAACGAAAAAACCTATTATTTCGATTAGATAATGTAATTGAATCTAACCTAAAACTTTTCACTTTAATGTCTTTTCCATCACTTTCTTGTTTGATTCTCAAAAGAACGATTCAAATTGTCATACAGACAAAAGAATGATATGGGCGAGTCAAATTAGGGTTTTTTACAATTTAGACTTTTGGCTTTGTTTTTTACCAGTTTAGGGTTACTTTATTTGGGTTTAGGGTTTTCAGGTTTTCTAGCCATATAGGCATGCTTACATGTCATTTTGTGTCCACATAGTACATTGTTATTGGCTAAAATATCCACGTCAGCATCAAGACTAATGAAATTAACCCTTGGACCAAATTGATACACGATATCATTGTTCAAGTACCTATTGAGCAACTTTTTTAATTTAGGTACTAAATCCAACAAACCACTATAGTTCAAGGGCTATTTAGGACATATCCCATAAAATTAAATAGGATCCATCAAAATCTTATGTGGAGCTCATATTTATAAATGGTACATGCTTACATAATTTTTATGATTTTTTGTTATAATTGTAGGATTGTAGTAAAAAAATTATAAGTGATATGCTTTTAAAAATTTTGTCCCTAATGAAATAGAAAAACAGATTTTCAAATCAAAACACTAAATATTTTAAGAACTAGAACTCCTTTTAATTCTCAATAGGATAAAAAAATTACACTAAGATATTAAAACCTTAAATAAATGTAAAATACTAAATATAACCCTAGGTCTATAAGATATTATAATTAGTCTCATAAATAAACAAAAGTAACAAAATAAAATTTAAGTTAATATTTTATACACTCACCGTATAAATGTTATACATTCTTAATCAATCTTATGATAATACCTTATTAATGAGTAAAACTAAAAATAGTCATGTTCTTAAAAATAAATTACTAATAATCTTATTAATATTTATTTAAGGGATTTAGTTACTTTTAGATTTACTCATTAATAAAATATTACTGCAAGATTGATCAACAAGATAGCACATAAAATATTAACTCATAAAATTTTAAGTAAGCTAATGCCACAATTAGCTTATTTGTGTTCTACACCAATGATTGTTCTAAGAAAAACTCTGAGAAAATTAACTCTGAAGGAGGATAGCCGTGAGAGGTCACTTAGAGACATTGACTATAGAGTATTGTTATCATTTTTGTCGATTGATTGAATTTTATTGAAAGAAATCATCTATAAGAATAATTAAAGCTGTGCCTAGCTTAGAATTACAGTTTAGATCATATTTATTCTAAAAAATAATAAGTATACCTTAGATTAATTGTGAGTTCCTCATCACTTTACAGATTTTTTTTACCAATCGTCAATTTAATAGCAATTTATGTTATAATTGAGAGCCACGTGTTTATTATCCATACCACCTGTTTATTTCTTCACTCCATTTGTTCTAAATAATTATTGACTTTCTCTTTACATTCGAAGAAAAAAAGTTCTTCATTTGAATGAGAAAAGATAGATTATTTTCTTCTTTTGTTATTCTAAGTTTTATATCCTGCATTCGATTGAAGTTGATTTTTTTTCAATGCTTTTAGTAGTTGGATTCGATATGTTTATTATCTTCAATAGAAACATATAGGGGTTTTGGTTTTAACTATATATTATGTTTTTCTTTTGATCTTCGAGTTTTTATCACTGTTTCCTTTCCTATGTTATTGGTCAGCATTCGATTTTGTTACTCATTTAATTTTGGCAATGGTTAGTTTATTACTCTCAATATGTTTGTGAAAATTTCAATGTGGATTTGTTTGCATTCGGTTATGGTTAAAAAAATTATTGTCTTTAAGGTTTCAGATTGTTGAAATAAATAATAAGATTCTATATAATATTAAACCTGATATGAGTTGGAGTATACCTGCAATTGCTGCTGTTCCTATCATTGTGACACGACGCATGTATTTTTACATTTTTTTTTTAATTTTAAGTTGCTAATTTTTTAAGAGACTTTGATATTATTTTCTTTGATTTTTTTCGGTGAGAAGGTGGTACTGTTGCCATATATAGACATCATTATTTTGGCACCAAAAAATGTTTTACTCCTTTATGTAAGTTCTTTCCTTTTCATGCTTCTTGAAGTCATCTAGAAAAGATTGTTGTCTCTTGCTCTTTTAAAATTGCACGAAAGTATTAGCTTTGCTTACATGTATCAATGTTCATTAGAATACATTCTTATGAGATATATAATGCAGTTCATGGTTTTTATTTGGATTCACAGCTAGAGCTTTAGCATATGAAAGTATTTTTATAGCAGTAAAAAAAATTGTGAGCTCTTTTTAGCAATAATGCAATGGTGGTATTCTATATCTAAAAGCTTCTATTAAATAACAAGCCAGACTTAGTAACCGGAAAATAACATCGATGAGCTCTTTTGAGGTAAGTTTTATTTATGCGTATGTTCAATTCTTTTTTCTTTTTCATGTCATATATAGACACCGTCCAGTTCATTCTATGTCCAATTTTATTATTATTATTATTAAAAATCTATCAAATTTATGTGATAGTACTTCAAGAAAATTTTATATCATATAACGAATTGATTGAATTTTTTAATAAAATATCAAATAAAATATTTAAAATATATAAATTGTTAATAACTTTTTAAGTATTTCAAATTCAGAAAAACTTATCCATATAATGGATAAAATCATCATTCAGGTTGATAATGGAAATGAGAAGCGTTTTAGAGAGTTTGAGAATGCTGAAGCAAATTTGCGTGGTGGCATTGAGAAATTGGGTTCTGAAAACTCTGCGAAATTTGGTTTTGTTTTTTGTGCTAATTGGAGTGGTGGAGGTGTGAAATCAAATCCAGGAAAGGGAGAATCCAACGATTTTGTAATGAGTTTGGATGGTTGCAGGGGAGGAGGAAAGGAGGGACTGGTGCCCAGAGGTAGATATAATAATGGATAAATTACATAAAATTATTTTGTGATTTGAGATAAATTTAAAGTGACATTTTAGGTTTAAAATGTAACATTATTTAATTTATTTTTTTTTCTCAAAATCGTGATTTTTTCTGTTATTTTCAAACAAATTTTCTTTTACTTTTTTCTGTTTCTTTTCCAACAATTCACACATTTTTCTCTCTCTCTAACATTCCAACTCTCTCACCTCTCTCTAATTTTCTTGCTTCGTCGTTCGATTTGACTGGAATTTTAATATATTGCTTCTCTCCCCGTGCTCTTCCTCCTCATGGTTTCAGATCTCCCAAAAAGTCACTGATTGCCGTTCACCACCGTTGCTCTGTCATTGTCACCATGAATGCCACTGTCGGTGCCAATCTTACCTCCTCTTCAATCAGTTTTCTCAAAGAATTCCTAGATCTTCTTAAGTCTAAACCCAGAGTCACAGATTCAAACAAAACTGCCAGTCTCCTCTGCTATTCTAACACCCAAAATCACTCAAAAATGTTTCTCCTTCTTTACTACCTAGAGGAAACCCAAAAAGCTACTAGGGTCAACAACACCCGAAAGCCTCAAATATCACTACCCAACCGCACCCTTTATTTTTGCTTTGATTCTTGTTTGCCGGATCATTGTTGCTGGTTTTGATGGTGGTATTGGCACCAGTAAGGTGTTGGGTTCTAGGTAGGCGGTAGTAATGTGATGAACGTATGCTTTTTCTTCTATTGGTTGTTGTGTATTTGATGACTACCGAATCGAGTTTGCTAGTGGTTCTTGATTGTGAAGTGTTTCTGTGGGTTTTATGTGTTTGAACTATGATTGATTCCTTGTCTGTGTATTGTAGGCAATTGGGTAATAAGTGTTAGCAAGGTAGCAAGAAATGATGGTTTTTAATGCTTTACACGTTTTTGCCTTTGCTGCTTTGCACGTTTCTTGCCTCTATGTCCTCTTCTTGGTGCTGTTCGAAATTTCTAATTATTGGAGTGTCGCTGCTATTCGGGTAGAGACTAAGTTGAACGATTGGTGGTGATGGGGTAGGCTGTCAATGGTGAATTGGCAATGGTGTAGAAATGGCAGTGTTGGCTATGATTTTCGAAGAATGGTTTGAGAATGCTGGTAAACTTGAAATTGGTCACTAATTATTGGGTTTTACTTGATTGCTTTCCCTATCTTTAATATCAAGATGGAGAACTTAATTTGTTTGGTTTCAAAGAAAGAGAATGAATTGATGATGAAGAGAAGGAAAATTTTTTTTAAATTTTCAAAAAGGAAAAAGTAACATTTTGAGCAAAAAAGTAATAAAATGTTAATTGTTACATTTTAAATTTTAGAAACCACCTTAAATTTACCTCAAATCATAAGATGGCTTTATATAATTTACCTTACAGTAATTTAGAGTTTCCTTTTGCTTGGAATTCGAGTGATTTAGCCTCAAATTTGGATTCAGGGAAGGGAGACTTTTGCGAGACTCTCAAAGAGCAAGATTTGAATGTTGGTTTTATAAAATTTCATTCTTTCACACGCATCTAACTTCCCGCAACGAAGCGCGGGTGAAATTACTAGTATAATATTTCCTGAATAAATTTTACTGAAAAAAATCACGTGGTATTATATTTGTTGCCATGAGTTTTCAAATTCTTGCACTATCCTGCACGAAAAAACCATCCTGCTATCTGCTTCTCTTGGAAGACATCATTCTTGCATTTAAGCTGTGAATAATGCAAGAATTTGAAAACTCATCATGGCAGGAAATTCGTTAACTGGAGCCTAATGCGTTAGGTACCCTCTGAATTTAATTTAGTTATTTGCTATGATGATTTTCTCGTGAATGCAGTAGCTAGCTGGCAATCAATGGGATGAATGATGACGAGAAGCTGAAGGAAGCTGTTAATTCAAAGGAAGTTGAGGAATTCATGAAGATGCCACCTGGTGCAGCGAAATAACAGATAGGCTGAGTTGGCATATCAGCTGACTAAAGTTAGTTATATGAGAGATAATAGCTGTTTGATAAGGCAGTTGTCTCATTTGAATTAGTATTTCCAAATTACGAGAATATAATAGCCATTTTGATCATGAAATGAAAAGTACAAGTCTCTGCTCTCTGCTCTTCCTTCTTTCCTTCTGGTCTATTATCTTCTTCGTTCTTTCTTTGGCTTCCATTAATCACATTATATTCTGACATTTACTCCTTTCTTATCAGATAAAAGATGATCAAGGTGCTGCTCCCACAGAAACCCCTACTCCAGCCTCTGATTCGTTAATAGATTATAACCAAGACACTTATGTACAAGAAAACCAAGCTCATCTGTTGCATACCGTCCCCAGAATATGAGATGAGTAGGATATTTCTCATTTTTATCTCCGATTTTTTTGTTCATTATACCAATTTCCCATGCCTATCGAATGTAAGAGATACGAAAAATCCCCATCCCTGTAACTCAAATTACACATTTCGATCCTCGTACCTCATAAAATTTTAAAACTATATCCAATACTCATCCTAAAATTTAATACACATCTATATTCTCATTCCCAATTTGAATAAAAAATCAGATTACCGATCAGATTTGGGTAATTGACATCCCTACCCCAGAGTGATCCAAGGTAGGCTGTTCCAAAGCCAGAGATTTCTGATCTTCTGGTAAGACTTGTCTTGAGCTAATACACTAGGTAAGAATAGGTTCATTATTCTTATTTTTATTCTTACTTTACCTACCTGGTTACTTCCAGTGCTATGACGACCCAACTCTTGCATTAACTAAACAAAATATATATATATATATATATTTACTTGCAAAACAATATCCTGCATGCAAAACAGCTTCTACGCCTCTATCTTGTGTCATTTCAACGGTTGCCTTCATTTTTTTCTCATTGCATTTACCACCAAAGAAAATATTGCTAGTGACTATATCAACGCTGGAATGATAAAGAATACGAGCAAGTGTTTGGATCTTTGACAACTTTGAAGTCGTCCACACTCATCCCAAATCAACCCAGAACAGAGTTGCCAAGTTCCTTTAGCTTTCCTGCTCAGAGTATGTACATTTATATATGGTTAGTGATGTATAAATGAAGCATGCATAAATATAAAAGCATAAAATAATGTCCCGTATGCTAGCTTCAACAATTCCACGAAGGATCTAAATTGCTAGTTCAACATACATAATTATACCATGAATATACAGCATCATGAAATAAAATTTAAGCTCAATATTCTCCCCATTTCTCTGAGACCGACCTGTATTGATCAAATATAAAACATAAGTTGCAAGAAAATGTCAAGTTCTCTTTGGCAAGAAAAATGCTTAGAAAAATATTAGTGACTAGAAACAAATGCCAACCTACTTCCATTTCCAATTAGGTTTCAAAGCCTACAAATAAATGCAAGATCCTAATAGTATTCATTGAACGGTATGCATCAAATTGAGATTGCACATAGCTAAAGTCAATCATTTGACATGGGCACTTCAAATCCATAGTGTTCAATTAGAGATTGAAACCAATAACCAATAAATCAGATGCTTATTACCATTTGAATTTAGTAGTAAAACCAAAAATAAAACTGAGTTTAGTTTCTTTGACACATTGAGCTAAAGGAAGTAGCTAACAAAAATAAAACTGTTATGCTCATTAACTCGGTCAACATGACCAAATTTCTTCAGGCGTCCAGCCAGTGCACGTTCAGATTGCCATCTTACTTCATTATAGAATTGGCTTGTCCCTCATCAAGGAAGGGATTGTCTAACAAATGACATCCCTACTAACGTCCTATCAAGGCATTACTTCAAAATTAAACACTTGGCCTCCAATTTATTTAGAACCATTAAATGTAACTCATGCTTGCTTGAAATCGTTCCAGGTACGTAAAACTTAAGACCTAAACTTTGTCCTTCCATTGAAGCTTCCTCCACACACTTCACCTCTTTCCTCCTCAAAATACCTCGCTGACTTGAGCATAGAACATGGCCTGGAGAACCAACTCCTACGCCAGCCCTTGACTGTGCTTTCTGATTGCAGGTTCAGGCCACTTCACCTTCAACCTCTTATCAGCTCCTTCTAATTAAGACACTCAAAAATACCATCAACAACAATAATAAGATTAAGATATATAAATATTTGATATGTGATACAAGGGAATTTGTGTTTGGAAGTCTTATTCTTATCTAAAAATTTCAAATGCACTTTTCAATATCACATACTAAATGTTAGGAATTTGACTGTAATTATTTTTGCACACATTAGGTACATCCATTAGCATAACAACTTAATGTATGATTTTCAACACAACCTTGAATAATATAACAATGCGGGATTTTAGTGAATTCTCCCCCCTCCACTTCATAATAGTTTTTCAGGATATAATAATAATAATAATAATAATAATGTAGAGCAGTAAAACATCCATAACACAGTAAAAGGAATATGAAGATTATGATTTATGATCCAATACGGTAAGTATCAAGAAAAATGATTTGCCTTGCTTAAGAATGCAATACATGAGATGATCTTCGAGTGGAAAACCAAAAACGGAAAAGAAAAAAAAAAAAAAAAGAAGAAGGAAGAAGAGGCAAATAAAAATGCAGATTTCAAGCTTACCAATCATCTCCTCTTTCATGTTTCTTTGTTTTGCAGCAGCCAGTGGATCCAGCCTGTGAATGGCCTTTCTAGCCTGGCCATTAGAAGGATCCAATTCCAAAACCTTCTTCATATCTGTAAATTTCATTTTATTTAAAAAAAAAAAAAATTCAGCAATCAAAATAATTACAAACATATATAGTGCTGACACATAAATCCAATCCTCCAGATGAAGCATTGGATAAATTTTCCCAAATACAGTTAACTAAATACATATTTCTAACCTTTTTGTAAAAAATTAAAAGAAAGAACAATAAAATCAAATGGAACTCACCAGCAATGCCAATGGCCTCTTCAAAGTGTTGAAGCTTTTCATGAGCTTCTCCTCGTCCGACAAGAGCTTTTACATAAGAAGAATTAAGTACCAAAGCCTTCTTACGCTCCTTGATGGTTTCCTCATACTTCCTCTAAAAATGTACATTTTTTAACATTAAAAAAAAAACAACGAATGACAGTTATTCAACTTGAAGAAGTAATAAAAAAAGTACCAGCTTAAGAAAGCAAACAGTGCGATTCGAATGACAAATGGAACGAATTTCAATGGCAGTAGGCATCTCCACTGTAACTTGCAAAGCAAGATCGTACTGTAACACTGCCTCTTCGTATTGCCCGTTTCCAAACAATTTATTTCCTTCCATTTTCGTATCATTTGCTTGTGCCAAAATTTTCTAGAAATAGTATTTTTTATAAAAAAAAAAATTAGCTATTTTGTTTCATTTTAATGATTGATTAAGCAAAAAAAAAAAAAAAGCTCTTGGAAAGAAGAGAGAACCTCGTTCAGTTGGTCTTCGTTTAAGGCATCTTGATAAGAAGCGGGACCTTTCTGCTCAGAAGGTTGTTGATCGCTTTCGTGGCTTCTTGTTGTTACTGTTGTTGTTCGTTGTGGTGTGCTTCAATCAGCACCATTTTTGGATTTAGGATCAAAGAATCTAAAACAGCCTTACACTTCAAGGTTCAAGCAAACAAACTATTGTCGATTTTGTATAAAAGCGAACACGAAGAAGAAGAAAGAAGATCAATTGTTTCATACCAGTTTAAAAAAAAAAAAAAAAAAATTACCTTCGAGAAAGCTTTCTAACGGCATCGTTTGGCGTGGGCCTTAATTTTTCGGCTACAATAACAAAGGAAATTAATAAAGAAAATTGACTGGGCTATCCTTGGCTTGGGCTTAGATTTATTCATTAACAATATGGCCCGTTAAAAATGGGAAGACACAAGCAAGGCTGCTGCTAAAAGTAGAACCGAAACTAGAGGTATATGATCGGATCCGGTTGACATTGCACCTAAAATCAATCCCCTATTACCTACTTAATGCTAATTGAAAAAAGATTAAAATATAAAATATTTTTATGAAAATCATATGATCCATCGCAAGTAGGAGCTAGGGAGACGTTTATGTTTCAAAATGACTTGAAGTTTGAATGCATGTTATTTAAATTTTGGAGCATCTTCCGCAAATAACTCATTTTACAGAGAGGTAGAAGTGTATTTGGAGTAAAATTACTTGAACTAAAAATATTTTTTTTTTTTGTTTCAATAAGAAAATAACTTTTTAATAGTAAGTGTGATCTGGGATTATAAAACATGTTTAATTATTGAGAAACAATCGTTCAACATACTGAGTGAGGACAGTTTGCACTTTGCTTGATGCATATGGCAGCAAGCATCGCACTCATTTCAACACACTAACAGACGCAAATAATGTGACCAAAAAGAAATGAGCCCACGCTGATCAATGGCTGATACGCACTGCACCCTGGCTATATATTATTAACTAAGACTAATAGAATGCTAACGTTTCAGTTCACCGCTAACTGTTGCAATATTGATGCAATGGAGCCGTATTTTAAACATCCATATATAATCTAGTTCTAAGTTCATGAATTTGTGGAGGTTGACTTTGATTCTTAAGCCATATAATTGGACTTGGACATTGCAATTTGTCATACTAGCAAACTTAACCTGATCACGTAGATTGAAAACCCATTGACCATCTGATTTAAAGCAAATCAATTAGCTGTAGCACGGGTCTGATAATAAATTAACCACACGTCTCCTTTGCTTACTCCGCCTTCACATTCTTAATTTTCTCTTCAAAGACCAATAAAATTAAGGAGAGAAAAATTTGAGCCAACACAATTGGTACTCCACATTTTTTGTATGGACAATTAAGGGAAATTTTGAATGTTAGAATTATGGAAGAAAGAAAGATGAGAGAAAAATCAGCACATTTTGTCTGACTGACAATATATACTATACATCAAGTAATAATGTTAAGAAATTACAATTATGCAGTGCCCTCAACCAGTTTATCTAATTTCTTGGTCCTCAACCTCTCAGCATAGACCTCACTCCCTTGGCATTCATTCCTGCATTTAAGAAGCGTGACAAATTCAGCCCAAATAATTGAAGAAATCACCATTTACCACCTGACAATAACATATTTACATATACTTACTTGCGTGGTAAAGATAACAAAGGGCTCAGACTTTGTGCAAGTTTAACAGCTTCTTCCTCAGTATTCACTATCTTGTTGAAGCAAAAGTATCTTCCGATTGTCGAAGGATCTTCAAATGCTCGAATATGAACGTCAGCTAAAAAGCTCACATCAACAACAGCTAGAACTCCATTTTCAAACATTTGAGCAGCTCCTATATTTCGATATTGATATAATACATGGCATTAGATCCAAATTTCAGACTAAACATTATCGTATTGTTTCAGATGGAGAAATTAGCTGATATGCATATAATTCATACCTTTAAGATATGACATGGTTGAACGAGGATTTTGTTGTGCAACGCCAGGGCCAAGAACTAGTCCAGCATTGACAGAAACCATGTTAAGCATTCGATCCATAGCAAGAGCCCAAGCAGCCTGCTCGGAGAGTGTTTTAGCAAGCGCGTACCACAACTGAACATCAAAAGAGATCAAATTATAAGAGCCAAAATTATGTAACGTTTATGCAATACCTTGTCTACTCAATAGGAGCTAAGAAAAATATGGATTCAAGGGCTTACCGTCAAACCATTCTTTAACTAGCAGGCATTTGCTTTTTCAAATTTAAGACTAATGTTTGGCCAAATAAGTACCCTGAATGAATTGGTATAACCTCTAATTTGGTGGCATGGCACATGCATTATGATCAGTTTTTCTTGGTTGTGGCAATTAAGAACGGAAGACATACTGTGTTGTTGCCCTTGAAAATAGAATTTTAAATAGATAAAAGAAGAGTAGTTTAAAAAGCTTTATTATTGTTATTATTTTTTGTGCTTTAGATTATCAAGATTTGAATTTGATCACTAAAATTAAAAGTTTAGTATTCTATCAACAAACTACACCACTATTGATGTTTAAAGAGCTTTATCAACAAATTACAAAAAACAAAATTTCCAAAGTCTCACTTAATAGTGCTAGGATCAGCTTAAGGCAGCTGTACCAAACCTAACAATATCACATTTGCCCAACCACCACCCTGTAGGCCGTACCATATCCGTATTCATTTTAGGAAAAAAAAAAAAGAAAAAGAAAAGAAAAACCATCTAAATTTACCCCTCAATGAAACCCAACTCTAGTTGTGGTCACTTGTCCTATAGTTACCAAAATATGATCCTCTTGAATCAAACAAACAGCAAACTAAAATGTAAAAAATATATATTTATGCAGGCGCAACTAATGCATGACTTTCTGTGGTATTGAGGTGTTTGCCCTTTTCTTGTCTTTAATTTGGTTATTCACTTTGAATTTTCTTGCAAAAAAATGTGATTCTGATCACTCCCCAATCTTTGATATGTTCCCATATAGCAAATATATATTTTACCATCTAGAAAGAAAAATATCAAGAAATTTATCTTACAACAAGTTCATGGTGATTTGAGAAAAGCCAACTAGATGATCTATAGGCCACCAGCAAAGAGGACGATCCGGTAAAAGAATCTTTGATTAGCTTTGACAATTAACCTTGAATTCTAACATTTAGCTCTGGATGACATTTCTAATCGATCTTTTGAGATTATCATAGTTTTTCTTCCTTTTTCAATTTATGATCAAATAATCTAATTGTCTTTACAACTTTTCCCCAGGGAAAGGAACCTAGACAGTCAGTGTACATGCAATTTCTATAGAGTAACAAGACACACCCCCATTCCGTAGACAAAGTTGTTAATTAATTCAATATAAACACTGAAAGAAAAAGAGTCAGTCTTCTAGAAAAAAAAAATGAAGTCTTTGATTAATTCAATACAAACATTCAAAGAAAAAGAGTCAATCTTCCAGAAAATTAAAAAAAAAAATGAAGACTACTGTATTTAGTGTGAAGTTGAAAACCTTCATTTTCCGGCAGCAATGTTGATCACTCCAACACCTCTCATCTACATCTTTCTCTGAACAAATATTGTCTCTCCAAATAGCTGCAGTTAAGGAAGAAGTGAACACAATCTTCTCTATGGTATCTGTTTGTGCACATGCCTCCACTACATTGATTGCTCCCCTTACTTCCAAATCCACAATTATATCCTGCCCCAAACCATGGAAATGTTAATCAATTCCAGGGTAACAAACTATAGATACATGAAAGAAATTATGGGAATTTTTTTAACAGTTTTGACTTACATCATAACCATCTGGACAATCTAAACAACAGAACAAAGCAGAGCAACCCTTCAAAGCAACAAGAATGGTCTGGTAATCCAGGATATCCACTGTTAAAACTGATAATCTCTCCTCCACTCTTTCCATTTCCTTAATTTTCTTCTCTATCTCTGTCTCTGATCCTGCAGCAACCCCAAAGCAGAAAAAGCTTCAAAACAAAAGAAACCAACTCAAAGAAAGAAGCACCCAAGAACAAGACAGATATCAATAGGAATAAGACGAAAAAAAAAAAAAACACTTACCGTTTTTCTGAAGAGCTGCATGAACCGTGTAACCTCTACTCAATAGTCCTTTGAGAATCCAAAAGCCAACATAGGTTGAAGCATCAAGAACACAAACTGTTGGCTTTCCGTGATCCATTTGTTTTTTTTTTTTTTTTTTGCTCAAAGTAGTTTCTATCTTTCCAGGCCTTGCCTCCTTAATCTCGTTTTTTCTTTCTTTTCTTCTTGTAATCAACTTCCTTATATAGAAGTTAAATAGAATTTGAAGGTGAGATTGATTACTTAAACGAGTAAAAGTTGGTGAACTGTTTTGCAAAACGTCCCCATCTACTCTCCTTCCAAGTACTCTTTTGGCCTTTTTCTTTTTCCTCTTATTTTTTTGTTTTCTATAGTAATTATAGTAAGATGGAAGGAAATAGTACAGGTTATGATCTTTCAACGAGATAAATTTTGATACTTTATTTAAGTGTACAATCTTCAGAAAAATTTACTTATAATTTTTTATTATAATTTTATAATTAATTAATTATAGTAAAAATTTATATAAAACTCATTACTTAAAAATATAAATTTTACAATTTTTTTATGAACTTTATCATATATTAAAATTATAATTTAATTGTTCTTTTGATTTAGCGGTTAAAGCAATTTTATGAAGATGTAGAACTTTTGGTTTCTAGTCAATATCTTTTTCTTTCCTTTAGGGTTATGACCTCCTTTGAACAAAAAAATTATAAATAATTACATTATAATAATTATTGTAAACACCCATTTTATTTTATTATTTTTTTTTCTTTTTGTTTTTCTAATATTTTCTTGCCAAAAGTTCTGGTGCATAATCTCTACAACAGCCAGTTGCACCACCAGTCGCCAACAGCCGCCTTACAACCGACCTTACCACCCTTAAGCCAACTTTCAACAAAATCTTAGATTTTTTGAAACATTATATCTTCATCTAGTTCTATAAATAGAGCCACATAATGATCCAAGGGAAATAGACCGAAATGAAAAAAAAAAAACTTAAAAAAAACAAAAACCCACAAAGAAGTAAAAACCTTGAAAAAAAACTTTATGTCAAAAAAAAAATTAAGAATACCAAAACAAAAAAAATCAAAAACATAAACACGAAAAAACAAACCCCTGGTAGCAAGGATCTTAATGCCAAAAAAAAAAATGATCACAACTTTAAAACTCAATCTACATTAATCGAGATTTTTTTTTCTCAAAACAGAAGCTAGATCTGTATTTAGGGCGAATAAAAGATTTAACATGATTTTTAAAAAAATGTTTTGGTCACCAATGACGGTGGTTGGTGATGGATGTCAACACGACACTAAATAATTGAATATTGGGTTTACAAAGTTTTTCGATAAGGCTTTAAGTTTTAAAGAGAGAAGCACTCTCTTAGAGAGAGAAAATCTAGAAAAAAATGAAATAAAAATAAAATTGTGAGCTTTTTATAGTGTTATAAAAAAAAAGTTGCAAAATGACACCATTTAAAACCCAAAGGATCTCTACGTGAACCCAAATCCAACTTGGGATCTTTACATTCGATTGACTTGCTACTGACACGCCTACCTAGATCGGTGTTGACCAATTTGGTTTAAGTAAAAAAAATTTTTAAATTTTTTTGTTTATTTTTTAAAATATTATTTTTGTTATTTATACATGTTAAAATATTTAAGTTTGTTATAATAAATTTTTGTTATTTTTTATAATAATAATAATAATAATAATAATAATAATAATAATTAGTAAAAATGAAAGCAAAAAAATAAAAATAAAAATAATAATGAAATATATAGTTAAAATTTTTTATAATTTTGTTAAAATTTGAAATAAACCTTATAAAAAAATGAGTAGTAGTAATAATAATAATAATAATAAATGGTTTCTAACCTTTAATAATTCTTTTAAAAAATAAAAAAAGGAAAAAAAACCAAAAATAATTAATAAAATTAATAAAACTAATAAAAAATTCGTAAAAATGTAAGAAAAAAAAATTTATTCTACGATGAGATTCAAAAGTACTCTGAATAACGATACCTACAAAATCTCTATGTGAGAAATTTTTTTTAAAATGCTACTAACGTATTAGAGTATTTATAAAAATTTTAAATAAATAAAAATTTTCTTTTGCTATAAAATAGTAAATAAAAATTAACTATTTTGTTAAAAATAAAGTGATAGAAAATGAGAAAAAAAGAAATTTTATCCAATAACAGGATTCTAATATATGCTTTATGAAATCTCTAAGTAAGAAGATTTTTTAAAAATATTACCAGTGTATTTGAGTATTTATAAAAAATCTTCAATATGATAAAAATTTCTCTTTTCTTTAAAAATTAAAAAAAAAAATTTAGGAAAAAATAAAATGTGTGCATCAACATGTTATTATTTGTATTGCATATATGTGTTCATTTTTACGAAAAGTAAATACGAACCTCCGATGATAAGATTTTAAGGTATTGTAAGAAGCGATACACAAGAAATTTCTAGCTGAAAAAGAATTCTTTTAATGTTATCAACATACTGAAATATTTTAAGAATTATTTTCATAAAAAAAGTTCTAATTTATTTTTCTTGATTAAAAATGGAACAATAAATATAGAATAAACATAAAAGGAAAAACCAAAACTACGATAAACAAAAAAAATCAAGGAAATTACTTTTTAAACATCGAAACTAAGATTATTTTGTTAGGATTAATGGATAACAAGTAATTAATGGGTACCATTTTAAATTAGCATTGTGGGAGTGCTAATCCTTCTCCATATGTAACCGACTCCCAGACCCAGACTATTTTGTAAATTTTAAAATTATCTTTTTAATAAATTTTAAGATTTTATTAAAAAAATAAATTTTAATAGGTGATTAATCGCACCTAATTAAAAAAATTGGTAGCGACTCCCTTTTTTTTTTTAATTTCATTTTCAAATTCGTTGGACGGCTCCAAAACCATTACAATAGTTTGGTGACTCCATTGGAAAGGTTATTTTTTCGAGAGTCAGGCCAAAATTAACTACGTATTATCTTTAAATTTGCTTTAAACAGTTTTAATCAGTATTTAATTTTAAGTTCTTAAATTTTGATTCCTTTTCATTAAAGAAATAAAAACCAATCAAAAATAAAAAAGCAAATTGAAAACAAAAACAAAATTTCACATGCATTTTTTTACTATGCTTTTTGTTCATTTTTATTTGTATATATTATTCTTAATAAATTAGAAAACATTTGCACACACGATGACATATTGCACTTCATGCATGAGTTCTATTTTTGGGCTTGTCCCTTATAGGAGAAAATACCTATATTTTCATGAGGTGATAATGTCCTCAATGGTAAATGAAATACTTTTACTCAAATTGAACTCTTTCCGATCATAACCTATAATGGATAAAGTTGAGGTGCCTTGCTAGTCCAGCATGGATGACATTGAAGAACAATTTTGAAACCTCTAAATACGTGTCAATCTGAACTAAACATGTAATAAGTTATAGGAAACCAACCTTAGGTTGAGTTTCACCCACCTAATTGTAAAAAATACCTAAGTCCAAAACATATAAGAATCAAAGTTGAAAACAAAACAAAACAACAAACGAAAAATATCACAAAAAAGCATTTTTTAATCTCAAACCACATCCTCACACTAACTTAATTTTGTTTTTCTTTCTTTTTCCTTTTACATAAATCATATTATACAATTCTACATCAAGGTATTTGCTCTAGAACATCTTTCTCTCAAAAAGTTTTTCATGAATCTCGTAGAACTATAGATTTGCTTATCCTCCGTCAATATCCCATGCGAGTTATATAATGAAGTACATGTCTAGTCAAAGAAAGCTCAGCAACAAAATGGAGATTGTTTGCCTATTGGGTTTGTGTTTGAGTCACCTAAAAAGGTGCATTTGGATCTCACACAGAATAATTTAAAAGACTTAGTTATCATCTAGGGTCAATTAAGTGAAAAAAAAAAAGAAAAATTTTATAGAAATGATTGGCAGATTGCATCCCTCATTTCGGTGGTGATTGAGAAATAGTTGATCAAAGCAGCTATACAATTTTGGAACCCTTCCTATAGATGTTTCACTTTTAATTAGGAAGATTTGGTGCCAATCATTGAGGAGTACTCGATTTTGCTTGAGATAAAACTACAGTGTCTAGATAAAGTATTTACTCGAAAGCTAAAATTAGGTTATTACAAAAAGTTGGTGAAGCTTATAGGGTTAAAATGGAAACCATAGATTCTTTCGCAAAGCCTAAAAGTGAGCATCTTAGTATTGATTGGGACTTCTTTCGTAATTTTATTTAAGGGCATCTAGATGATGATTAAGGCATTGTCATGTTTGCTTTAGCATTGTATGGCATGGTGATCTTCCCAAAAACCTTGGACTACATCGAGATAACTGTGATGAATTTTTTTTAATAAATTGAAACCCAAGCAATTAATCTTGCACTAGTGGTCCTAGCCAAAATCATCAAGTCATTAAATTTTTATTAACAGAAAAAGACGGTTCATAAGGTGTGCACTACTATTATATGTATGGGTCAAAAGTCATTCAAGTGTGGAAATAGTGCATTTTTAAAGTCATATTTTCAAAACAAGGTGCCAATCGAAGAGTTCTATAAAAGTCAATGGCAGATATTAAAGATTAAGGAAAAATGGGTTACAAAGGCTTATCGGGGATGAAATAGAATAGATTACGCCATGGATGCCTTGTGTGTCTATGTTGTATCAAGAAAGAAATGAACCATGGATACCACTGTTAGGACTATAGGGTGTGGTAAGTTACATTCCATGTGTCGTAACGTCTAGATCCGGGGATCTATCGCTAGACATTGACTTTAGGGAGTCGCCACCAATCTTTTTTGTCTAGGTGCGATTGGCCACCTAAGGAATCTGTCCTTCCAGGGAACACCTAAGTTTAAGGGTCCCTAGAAGAATAGGTTCAGGTCTGCTGACCAGAACAGGGTTCGGGAGTTCGGTTACGTGTGAGGAAGGTTATAGCACCCTCACAACGCCCATCAAAAGATGGTACCAGCTTGAATTTGTGTTATCCAAAAGCCTTAAAATTTTACCAAGTAGTTAGTTGTTGAAAATTATTCTCAATTGACTCTAATACTTTTAGCAAAAAATTGAGAAAATTCCCTCACCTCAAGAGTATGCAAGAAAAACTACTGTTTCACTTACAGAGGCTCCGTCGTCGGATTATTTAAAGAAAGAGAAAAAAAAATCAAAATTAAGATAGAAAGGAATGAAAGAATGATTTTTTTTTGTAGGGAAAATTGATACTTTCAACTTTTCCCTAAAAATATTTTTTGAAAATTTCGA